TGTGTATTTGTTTGTTTATAAAGGCTATTGAACGATTTTGAGGAAAATTCAAAGGCATCAAATTCTGTATCAATGTTCTTCACAGTTCTTTGAATCCATCTCAAACTATATATAAGAGACTACTTAATGATTTAATCATACACTGGTACTGTCAAGACTCAACTGTCAAGATTCAACTGTTAAGTTCCAACTGTTAAGCTCCAACTGCTAAGTTCCATTTCACGAACCAAGCATAAACTGGTTGCTGAATCATTGATTTACTTTTAGCTTTTGCAGCCCTGCTAAAAAATATAAACATAAAACATGTCATCGTTTATGTGAATATTTATGAAGCTATTATTTATGATATATATATATAAATAAAAGCACTCATAATTTGATAAACAATTCGAGACAATCTGAGTCACGCTGTTTTCCACTTTATTTATTTATATTTCTAATTTGTTTGTTTTTGTGTTAAGTCTTCTTATTTACTGCTAGAAAACATTCACTAAATTCTATGCAGGTAGAATTCTATCAATATATATCGCATCTTATGTGGCAGGCACTTAAAATTAATGATCCCCCGTTGGACTTTCTGTATAAGTTTCATATATGTGACATGTTGTATATAAGATTTTTTTAGAAAATATTTTCGGGAATATCATATATAAGTAGGAGTATATAGGGTGTTATAAATAGGTTTAGCTGAATATAAAATAAATTTGAATAAAAGTCGGGGCACGTGCCACACTGTGTTTGTCCAAGAGAAATTCCTCCAGCTTCTTGGAAACTTCTCGTCAAGTGTGGCACATAAGATCTCTGGATATGTATACATCACATATATATATATATATATATATATATATATATATATATCTTATACATAAGTGGCTACGAAACAGAAAAGATTGTCCTATATTTGACCTCAAAAACATCCGGGACAGATATATTCAGTTTTTGTTTTTCCTCTGGTGACTGCGTGGGAAAGTATAAAACCAATTGTAGGCGTTGCTGAAAATTTCTTCAGAAAGTCGAAAGATTGGTATGAGCTCAGTTCGTGCGGAGCAGTCGCTGTGTTGAGAAGTGTTTTGACATCGTTTTGTTTTACCAAGGATTATAAAAAGGATATACTATCAAATCAATATACATACAGTGGGTCAAATATATACGTGAACATTGAACTTTGAAGTAGAACCAAAACCTATTTTACACATATAAATTAAATATTTTGGATCACAATACTGTAAATAGTATTAATATCCCGTTATAAAAATAATTTTCGCATTTCAATCAAAATTTCGAAATAAACTTTTTCGCCATTTTCCAGTTCCGAGTGCAAAAACATTTGTTGCCATTAATTTTAACTGTGCTGCGTCATTAGAAATCATAAAAATTTCAAAAATAATTTGCTTTCTCTGCTTTCGCCTACCGAAATAGATGAATTTAATAAATATTGTCACGCAAGTTCCCATAAGAATTTAAATTATGATACCGCTGAGGAATATTGAGATGGCAACCACCTACTCAAAGCGTTGATTTCTATATGCTTTACAGCTAAATATCTATTTCGGTGTGCTTCGGTTTCGACCACACCCCCTTTGCTTTGCGCTCTTTGAGGTTATGTTAAGTGTTAAGAGCGCCTTACTAATATGAAAATATCTCTTCGTTTCTTTACAGCTGAAGTCAGAATGCCAAGTGGTAAGGTAGATAAGCCCATTATTCAGGATAACCGTGATGGTACGGTCTCCGTGAAGTACGAACCTCGTGAGGAGGGTTCCCACGAGCTGGTTGTTAAATACAATGGCGAGCCTGTTCAAGGTAAATATGCACTTGAAAAAAACTATATTGACTATGTGATCAAGCACCTTGCACATGATTATATTATGTCCGATAAGAAACTAGAAAGAAGTCTTTTTGCTCATGCTTATTTGCTTTTGGTAGGATCTCCATTCAAATTCCATGTGGACTCCATAACATCCGGCTATGTGACCGCCTATGGACCAGGCCTGACGCACGGCGTCACCGGTGAACCCGCCAACTTTACCATCTCCACCAAGGGCGCCAGCGCTGGCGGTCTGACCATGGCCGTCGAGGGTCCCAGCAAGGCAGACGTAAGTGCTAGCTGACAAAAATGAGATTTCAGTTCTATATATATCTATGATTCTATGTTTTCGCAGATCAAATATCATGACAACAAAGACGGCACTGTTTCGGTACAATATCTGCCCACGGCTCCGGGTGAATACCAGGTGTCGGTGCGCTTCGGCGACAAGCACATCAAGGGCTCGCCCTACTTTGCCAAGATAACGGGCGAGGGCCGCAAGCGTAACCAGATTTCTGTTGGTTCCTGCTCGGAGGTGACCATGCCCGGCGACATCACCGACGATGATCTGCGCGCGCTGAATGCCTCCATTCAGGCGCCCAGTGGCTTGGAGGAGCCATGCTTCCTCAAGCGCATGCCCACCGGCAACATTGGCATTTCGTTTACGCCACGTGAGATTGGCGAGCATATGGTGTCGGTGAAGCGACTGGGCAAGCACATCAACAACTCGCCCTTCAAGGTGACCGTGTGCGAGCGCGAGGTGGGCGATGCCAAGAAGGTGAAGGTCAGCGGCAGTGGCCTCAAGGAGGGACAGACGCACAGCGACAACATTTTCTCCGTGGATACCCGCAACGCCGGCTTCGGTGGTCTCTCGGTGTCCATTGAGGGCCCCAGCAAGGCGGAGATCCAGTGCACCGACAAGGATGACGGCACACTGAACATCTCCTACAAGCCCACTGAGCCCGGCTACTACATTGTCAATCTGAAGTTTGCCGATCATCACGTCGAGGGCTCACCCTTCACCGTCAAGGTGGCTGGCGAGGGCAGCAACCGCAAGCGCGAGAAGATTCAGCGTGAACGCGACGCGGTGCCCATCACCGAAATCGGCAGCCAGTGCAAGCTGACCTTCAAGATGCCCGGCATCACATCTTTCGATCTGGCCGCCTGCGTTACCTCGCCCAGCAATGTCACCGAGGACGCCGAGATCCAGGAGATCGAGGATGGTCTGTACTCCGTGCACTTTGTGCCCAAGGAGCTGGGCGTGCACACCGTCTCGGTGCGCTACTCTGAGATGCACATCCCCGGCTCGCCCTTCCAGTTCACAGTGGGTCCACTGCGCGACTCGGGCAGCCATTTGGTGAAGGCTGGCGGCTCCGGCTTGGAGCGCGGCGTTGTCGGTGAGACAGCCGAGTTCAATGTGTGGACACGTGAAGCTGGTGGCGGCTCCCTGGCTATCTCAGTGGAGGGTCCCAGCAAGGCTGACATCGAGTTCAAGGATCGCAAGGACGGCAGCTGCGACGTCTCGTACAAGGTGACCGAGCCTGGAGAGTATCGTGTGGGTCTCAAGTTCAACGATCGCCACATCCCAGACTCCCCCTTCAAGGTGTACATCTCTCCTGATGCCGGCGATGCCCACAAGCTGGAGGTGCAGCAGTTCCCACAGGGCAACATCCAAGCCGATGCGCCCTATCAGTTTATGGTGCGCAAGAACGGCGCCAAGGGCGAGCTGGATGCCAAGATTGTGGCACCATCCGGCACCGACGACGATTGCTTCATCCAGGTGATCGACGGTGACATGTACTCGGTGCGCTTCTATCCACGTGAGAATGGCATCCATGCCATACACGTCAAGTTCAATGGCGTGCACATACCCGACTCGCCATTCAGAATCAAGGTGGGCAAGGATGTGGCCGATCCGGCAGCGGTGCATGCCACCGGCAGCGGCTTGGACGAAGTGAAGACTGGACACAAGGCCGATTTCATCATCAATACCTGCAATGCGGGCGTTGGCACACTGGCCGTTTCCATCGATGGTCCATCAAAGGTGGCCATGGATTGCACGGAAGTTGAGGAGGGCTACAAGGTGCGCTACACACCGCTGCTGCCCGGAGAGCACTACATCACGGTGAAATACAACAACATGCATATCGTGGGCTCACCCTTCAAGGTGCACGCCACCGGCGACAAACTGGCCGACGAGGGCGCCCAGGAAACATCCACAGTGATTGTGGAGACCGTCCAAAAGGTGGCCAAGGGCGGCAAGAACACTGGCGTCCATCTGCCCACCTTCAAGTCCGATGCCAGCAAGGTGGTGTCCAAGGGCATGGGCCTGAAGAAGGCCTACATTGGCAAGCAGAACCAGTTCAGCATCTGTGCCACAGATGCGGGTGAGTACAGATGATTGCAACTAATATAAATGAAACTTTTCTCTAAGTGTATTCCATCTTCTTGTTGTGCATTCAGGCAATAACATCCTGTACGTCGGCATGTACGGACCGAAGGGACCTTGCGAGGAGTTCCATGTCAAGCACGCTGGCCACAACAACTACAATGTGCAGTATCTGGTGCGTGATCGCGGCCAGTACGTGCTCCTAATCAAATGGGGCGAAGACCATATACCCGGCTCCCCATTCCAGATCGATGTCTAGGCTAAGGCCAAACAATCATATATAATATATATATACACATGCATAGATATATGAACCACAACCCCTCAAGCCCCCATCCAATCGTTCCCGACTGTGTGGGAACCAATCGTCTGTTCCAGGGTCCAAGAATTTTTGTGTTTGTTTCTCTATGATTGTCTTTGTTTAATTTTAACTCTTTGCCTATCATTATTATAAGTGATTATTATTTTTTGTTATTTGTACATAAAAATCAAGAAAAAGAAAAGAAATCAAAATATATGTTTTCGACTTAAAAAATGTTTGCGCGCCATTTTCACATATCAATTAATAAAAAAATTAAAATTTAATTTTCATCAACAATTTGATACTTACAACAAAGTGCGAGAAAATCTCTTAATCAATTATTTAATACTTAAGCAAACACTTATGAAGATGATTATTACGATTATGATGTATTATGTTTTTTATTATCACTATCGACATGTAATTTACGTAAACTCAAATAAATAAATTAAAAACATAAACAATTTTATTTACTTATATTAAAATGAATCTTACAGTTAACAATATTTAGTTTGTTGCCTTATTTTGTTGCATTTGCTTCATGTGCATGATGCAAATAATGTCGTAGATTCTCTTTTTGGCCTCCGTGAGCAGATCGTCGTTCAGCATATTCAGCTCTTTGATAACAAATCTACCAAATTGTTCGGTTAGTTGGGGTCTGCAGATCGTTTCATTCGCGTTGACGGGCTGTTCCATGGACTGACCTTCGTGCAGCATCACCAGCGCCAGGTTCTCTGGGTATACTAGATAACATTCGTCTTCCACTGCATTGTCCGAGTGAGCCACGGAGCAGTTTTCATCGTATTCATTACCTTTAGCCTTCTTCAAGGGCTGTTCAATGGCCTCGCAATCGAGTGAAGAGTTTGCATACGCTGGTGGATAGGCTGGCGGCGTGTCCTGATCGAACCAGTTGCAAGAGTTATCAATATTACTGTGCTCAGAGTATTGTTCGAGACTCGTGGCCTGTAACGTGTTCAACAGTTCGCACACCTTTGCGTAGTGAATCCATTTCGAGCCGTTACCGACCAGATCACGCTCTTTGCTGCAAATATAGTTTACATTCGGTGAGCTATGTATCTAAACATATATCTTCAGTGCGCGTCTTACCGAAATTTACGAGTAAACGATTCAATTTTCGCCTTGATATCGGAGCTTCTCATCTTAATGCCCTGGCTCTGTAACTCCAAAGCCATTTCCTTATATACGTGCAACTTGACCTTAGCAGTTCGCAAATCTCGCACATATTTGTGCCACACATTCAGGAATATTTGTTCCTCCTGCAGAACCCAAAATCTGCGCCTGGGTTTGGCCTTTTCCGAAATCATATTGGGTATAGAGAGCGGCGAGTCGGATGGTTTGGCTTTATCAGTATCGGTCGACATGGTCGACGATGACATGGTCCTCATGTCCTCGACTTCAATTTCAACTTGGGAATATTCCGCAACCTCATCGACACAGACGAAGCTGATAGCGTCGTCTGTAAAACAATTTAAAATTGATGTAAACTTAAGATTTTGCTTCAGAAAACTCACCTGAGATCACTTGTGTTGGTTCAAAGAGTGTTTCTGTATTTTGTTCTGGATATCCCATTATTGTGACCATTGTGTCGAAATGTTTCCATGGCTTTCTTGGCTTGTCTTCCTTTATAATTCTGAAATAAATTCATTTTCGCCTCAGATATTCATTGTTGGAGCTACCCAAACTTACTGACTAAATTTTCGCTTAAACGAGTCCATTTTTACTTTGATATTTTCCACAGTGGCATCAATTCCATTATTTGCAAACTCAAATTGAAGGTCTCTGCAAACATCTGTCCGACGCCGACCGCCGTGCACGGTTCCTAAATTGTTTTGCCAGACGCGCAGAAATATATCCTCCTCCGAGGACGTCCAGCACCTGCGCTGGACATTCACTAGAAATTATTTTATAAACATTAAAACCTATCTTTGTCAATTAGAGCTAAATCATACTTTTAATTTGATGAAAACAGTTGCTTGTTTACTTTCTCAATTTCGTTTATCGCAAGCAGAATTTTTACTCCAAGCATCAAATTCAAAACAATGCGAAGGTCTTAACAAGTTTCAACAACAGCGTTGCACGCTACAGCTGTTAGTATCTCTGAGAAAATACTAACACCTGTTAGTATCTCTGACAGAATACTAACAGCTGTTAATGCCCTAAATTTATAAGGCAATAATTAAAGAACTGCAATAAATATGTGTTTCAGTCAATGTGTAATACTCTAAATTCACATTAGAATTTTAATATATTTATTGAAGTCTCAATACGTATATCCGACTTTAATTACAGTATTCTTTCAAAAAGTTTCAATCGTTCACTATGAGCAGCTGCCTGCTATGACTGATTGACACGCAACTTAGCGCTCTTAACGCAAAAATGACACAATTAACAGACGGTATTTTTTTTCGATCATTTGACACTTAACGATTGGTATAAAACTCTTGGCGGCTGTTTCAAAATTTAAAAAGTAACGTACTAAAATAAATTACATTTCATTTGAAGTCTACGAAATTATAATATTCACGTTTAAAAAAAAATACATAATTACACAATTTATGTTGAATGTACTTAATTTTCAATGCTAAAGTAAAAGAATGCTATTCAATGACAGTCGATTCGTTAAGTGGAATGCATTGGCACAAATAGGTATAAGATTTGGCGCTATTTAAAGAAATTTAAAGAACTAGCGCGTAAGAAACAAATGGAATAAATATAATATACAAATTGAACTGAAAATGTATAATATTAGGTATTTAAGTAATTTTAAGTTTTATACTTGCTGATATGCAACTGCCCAGAATTAATTCTGACAATAACTTTGTTTCGTTAAGTGGGAAATTAAGCTTTGGCATAAAAGTGCTTGGCGCCAATTACAAAAATGCCCAAAAAGTACCAGGTGAGAAATGAAAGTAAAAGTTGAATTTAAATTTACGTAATTACATAGTTTATTTATGTGTTTTTAGTTAAATATGCTTTAAAACTTATTTACATGGTTGTGCACTAAGCGAATATATATTTAGTGTTACGCATTATAAAATCCATAATAGATAACTTTTACATTAACATTAATTAGTTTATATATATATTTATATATATATGTATGTATGTAGGTTTAACTTCCGCAATACTTTGAAACTTTGCGTTAAGGACACTCATTTTCCACCCACTTTCCACTTAAGGCAGCATTCCGTTCATCCTTTGTGAGAGCAAAAATTAAAACTATAATTCCGAGCTCTTGGGAAAAGTTTTTCGGTTTTCTTTTTGGACTTAATACAAGTTTAAGATATTTATTACTTTAATGTTGTTTGACTTAGGGCTAAATGGCTTAGTAGTAGAGTTTCAAGTGTATTTCATTTGTTAATATTTTACCCAAGCAGCATTAGGAAAAGTTTTGATGATTTTATCAACTTTTGACAGACGGAATGAAATGATTTTCTTTCTTGCTTTCTTTTTCCTTCTTCCTTCTTTTTGGCTATTGTCGTGATAATAAACTATAGTTTTTCCTTCGATTTCTATTCAAGACAGGAACGTGACGAGAAACTCAAAAATAAATTACAACAGACTGAAGCAGAACGAACTTATAAATTAAATAAATATACATATACTTGCAAAAAGTAGAAGATCTATAGTTCTATAGATGCTTGGTATCTTAACTAAGTTGGCTAACTTACACGTTTATATCACTTTTCGCAAATAATTCGTTTCATATATTGTGTTTTTTTGTTTGCTAAAATTATATTGAGGCCGTTGAATAAAAAGTAGCATTTGGTTAAAGAGCTGCACAGACCACGTTGAGTGGCTTAGAAGATGTTGATCTGGAACTCGCTGACAATGCCCTCGAGGAAGCCTTTGAGGCTGTCGTAGGAGTGGGTGCGCCAATAGATGTTGTCGTTCACCTGCTCCATGGCCAGCCCTATGGCAATTTCGACGGCCTTCAGGCCGAGCTTACGGCAATTGGCGGCCAAAGCCTGCAGCTGCTGCTTATGGTAGTCCTTGTTCATATAGATGGTCAGCGACTTAATCATCTCCGTTATCGTCGAGAAGCCATCGCCATAGCTGCAATTGAACATTTTTGTATTTGTGCACATTTCTATGCAGGGACAACTCACTATTCGGCTATCTCCTTGATGTTGGTCTGGAGGAAATCAAAGGCTATCTCATAGCCAATGGCATTGGAGGCGACGGCACGGAAAGCCAAGGCGCCGTCCTGCTTGAGTATGCCCGACGTAGAGTTGACAGTCAAATTCAGATATCTAAAGGGACAGGTGCATTGGAATATATCACATATATCGCCTATCTATGATCTCTTACTTGGACAGCAGCCAGGGCTTGGTGGTGCAGCCTAGGGATGTGAGTATCTCCTCCTTCTCAGAGGCACTGTTCGTTCTCTTGTACTGCTTGTAGGCGAAATACCATTCGGGGTACGAGCCCTCCGCTAGGGCCGTGCAATATATGACCGACTTCAGATTGGGCTTAATGCTGCAATTAAATTGGGATTAGCTATTGATGACTTAGTTGCAGTTCGATTTACTCACGGATTCTTTTTGGCATCGCGCATCCATTCACGGAACTTCATCTGTGCCACCTGCGTGCAGCGATCGTAGTTGAACTTGCAAGCGAAATTGGCGACCAGAGCTCGATGCTTCAGCTGCAGATGCGACTCGTTGTCCGGCTCATTCAGGCCGTAATGATCGAAGGCCGGACGCACTATGAACTTCATGAAGGCCTGCAGCGATAAAAGGGAGTAAAAATTATGTATAGAAAGACTAAAGCTATAAATGGAGGAATGATAAGAACTTCCTATAATACGATTCTAATTTGAGGTAGACTACAGATGCACTCAGAGAAAATGTTACATACTAAACTAAACTTTGTGTAGAATTAATGGTTATTGAAACCCATTAAGCAAGGAAAATATGCTTCAGCTAAGAAATTTAAGTTAAATTGAAGAAATTTCCATTTAAGCTAGGTTTCCTTACTCCTACTCCGAGCACTCTTCGACTTACCCTAAAGGTCTCATATGCTGGCTCCCGCTTCAGATTGTAGATGAGATAGTTGAGACCCGGCTTGGCTGCGCTCCACAACAGCTCATCGTCGATGGCCGTGAAGAGCTCCATCAAGAAAGTCAAACTGGAATTTTACACACAATTTTACACTTAGGATAAGTCTTCTAGTTGCTGTGCTAGCTTACGGTATATCGTAGGGCAGGTACTCCGCCTGTGAGAGGTGCAGTGCATCGTCCAGCAGCTGAGCGCGTGTGATACGTGGAAGTGTGCTGAAGTTCTTCTTCAGGGCCAGCCAGGAGGTCATGTCGTAGTTGACGCGATAGTAGCTCTGCCTATTCAGGTTCAGGTAGACAACGTTGTCGCTGTTGTTGGTCGAGGTGAAGACGCCGTTGACCACCAGCTGCTCCTGGTCCTGGGTCATCCAGTGCGTGGGTATATTATCGCCCTTATGCAGCTCGTCCGTCTCATAGGTAATGGGTATGAACCAGCGACTGTTGTCCAGGGGATTGCGAGCGGGCAGCAGATAGCGCTCCTGTCGCAGCACCAAATCCGCACCATTGCGCTCCACATGCACCACAGGATAGCCCGGCTGTGTTATCCATGAGTCCATGATCTGTTTGACATTCATGTTCTTGGGCAGCGTGCCCTTAGCCTGGCCATGTCGTGTGAGGAATGCCCAGAGATCGTCGCGTGACATGTTCTCGTAGGCAAAAGTCTTGAGCAGATCCTGGGTAGCCGCACGGAAGGCCTCGTCGCCCACAATGGAGTTCAACATGCGCAGCAAAATCGTGCCCTTCGAGTAGCTAATGGGATCAAAGATGCGTCGCACATCACTCGAAGTCTTCACATCAAAGGAAATGGAATGCGAGGTATTGGTGGCATCATGTTGCATCGACTCCTTGAATTCCTGCAATTTGAAATGGGAATTAGTCTAAGAGCTCTCTGTACCCTAACTGTACCTACCAGCACTGTGAAGGTATCCATAATCTGGAACTCAGGATGCACGTGATTGAGCGCCTTGTAGCTCATGTAGCAGGCGAAGCCCTCCTTCAGCCAGAGATCGTCCCACCACTTGGGCGTTACCAGATTGCCGAACCACTGATGCGCCAGCTCGTGGGCTATGATCTGTGCCACATACTGCATGTGCTCCGACGAGGAGGCCAGCTCCTGATCCTCGGGTACCAGCAGCGCCGAGTCACGGAAGGTGATCAGGCCCCAGTTCTCCATGGCGCTAAAGCCAAAGTCTGGCACCGAAACCAAATCAATCTTTGGCAGCTTATTCTTGATGCCGAAGTACTCCTCGTAGTAGGGCAGGAATTTGCGCACCATCTTGTAAGCATAGTTGGTCATGTCCACAAATGTGGGCCGCGTCCAGATCTCCACGCGCGGCACCAGGCTGCTGTCCAAATCAGCAAAGCGTGAGTCAACCATATTGGAGACAATGAAGGCCAAGAGGTAGGTCGGCATGCGGGGCGTGGTCAGGAAGTCGTCGCGTATATAACCAAGACGATGGGTGCTGTGGCACAACGAATTTGATTAGAATCGCCTTGCCTTAGATAGATCTTCAGTTGTCGTCTCACCTGCTACGATATTTGGGCATGTTGGACAGACACATTGTCTTCTTGACATCCCGAACGATGCTGATGGTAAAGTTGGCCTTCATGTCGGGACGATCGAAGCAGGGGAAAGCGCGTCGAGCATCAATGGGCGAGAACTGAGTGCTGATGACCCATCTGCAAAGGAAAGCGCAAAGATGAAAGATCAACTCTCAAGTTAGCCCATTTGAATGACTTACTGCAACTGCTTGTTGTCTGGATTGGTGTAGCTGGTCTTGTAGATGCCCTGCAGCGTATCTGTCACCTGGCTGACGAAGTCCAGGCTCAACAGCACTCGCAGCTTAGAGTCGCCTGCCAAATCCTTGGCCAGTCTAATCACAAACGTGGCATTGTTCTCCCCATAGTCGCTGTCGAAATCCAGATCCACCTCATCGCTGCCGTTGGCAACGGGAGCTCGTATCACGCGCACATTTGAGATGCTCACGTTGTGCACGTCCAGAACAATGGGCTCCCAGCTGCTGACCTTGGGATCACGTTCGATTTCAATGGACAGACTGCCATTGTTAGCGGACGACACGACATTTGGCTCAATGACAATTCTGCAAAGGGTCGAAAGGTTTGCATTATTCAGTAGCCAACTATTTAAGTGCAGGTGCAAATAGTTCTCTAATCACTGCCAGAAACGACAAGACGCCTCAATCAAAACTGCCAATCAATCAGCGCAGCGCATGCTACTGAACAGCTACTACCGGCTGCGACGCGTTTGTTGAAATCATTCGAAAGGGGAGCTAAACTGTAATTGCTGGCTATAGAATGCTAGAAAAGCACATAATGTGAAAAGCGAACATGATCGACAGTCTCATGCTCTGTAGACTAAAAAAGGGGCACTGGTTCGGGCCACGCTATATCAACAAAGCTCTCAAACGTTTCTGGCTAAGTTGAATGAGAATGTTTCAATATACAAAGTCTCAGATACGAACAAAACTTAAAAATCTAGATACAAGTTCAAGCCCCACTGCACTAATAAAATTTGTCTTTGCTTTCACAGCAGTCTTTACTAACTTGGCCAATAAAGCTTGGCTACACGCCCAACGACAAGTGTTAGAGTATCAAATTGAAGATCAATTTCTGCTCCCCTTCCGCACACATTTTGTCAAGAACTGGCCGCCAGATGGAGCCACTGTGCTGCTTGGTGTTTTTGCGCCTGCTGTGGCTTTTAATTGCGTCGATTGGTTTACAATGTGTTGTTGCGCCGGGGGCAACCAGGAAGCGTGTGCAGCGCAATTTGCCATGGACACATAGACAAATGGAAGTGCGCTTTGATCAGCAGCTGCAAAATCAGTTAACATCGATTTTGCTGTGAGCAGCAATGGCATCGATAGCCAACGCTGACTGCTCCAGCTGCGTGGCAGACGCAATTCAAGTCTTTGGGGTATTTCTGTGTCAATTATATTAATGCATGCGGCATTAGCCGCAGCATCTTCCATCTCCAATCTCCCAATCGCCCAATCTTCTAGCTAACTAACCAAGCAACCCATCTGGCGTGCTGACAGTTGGCGTGCGTGCCGCTGCACAAAGATCTGCCTCAGAACTGCCTCTGATCAGCGTCAGATCTTTGCCGCCTCGAGCGGCAGGGGCAGTGGCAGAGGCAGAGGCAGAGGCAGTCGCAGTTGCGTGAGTTTAGCTCCGCTCACAGCTTGGACATATTCGGCCAGCTCCTGTGGTGTTCGATTGTTGAACAAGTTGTTAGATGTCTGCATTAGCTGGTTGAGCTCTGTGGATGTGTGCTTAGCCTAAGTGCCAACTGGCGCACTGTTGGCGACGCTCAATCCTTGACCCACTTAGCGGGTGTACATCGTACTTCAAGCATAAACACGGAATGTCTAACAAAACATCTTTTGGCATGACGTCAATAAATGTCCTACGATATGCACGATGGAGCACACGACGTGGGGTCAAGGGTTCAATGATTGTCGTTGGGCAACTGTTGGCAGTTGTTTGCATCGGAAGTCATTTAAACTTGACTTGATGGAGTGACAATTTATCGATATATCGAATGTCAGATATAAAAACAAGGAGATATTACTTAGAAAGAGACTTGTCAAACGGAAGATTATGTAGTTTCATAGACAATTTAAATATTAGAGAAACATAACTTTGATTTAGTTGTTCTATTGGTCAATGCTAATCACTTAATCGGTTAGACCAGTGATTCCATCATTCAATTACTCTATTAGTAAGTCAGCCAAACCCTAAGTCAATCAATCAGTTAGTTAATCAAACATTCAGTCAATCAAACAGTCAGTCCCTTAACTAGTCAGTGAATCATTCAAACAGTAAGTCAATCACTAAGTTAGTCAATCACTTGATCAATCACTTAGTCAATGAGTTTATCAGTCGGTCAATCAGTCGCTCAGTCGCTCAGTTAATGATTCAGAAGGTCAGTCAATCAATCAATTAGTCAATTTGTAAGTTTACTAGCTGACTAGTGAATCAATCAATCAGCAAGGCAATCAGTCGGCTAGTCAATCATTTGGCTCATCAGTCAATCAATCCCTCTATGAATGAGAAGGTCAGGCAAACAAATCTACCAGTTAATCAGTCAGTCAATCAATCAATCAACCACCAAGGCAATCCCTCGGTTAGTCAGTCAATCAATCAATGAGTGAGGTCAGGCAATCAATCCACCAAATCAAATCATTTACTCTATGAGTGAGAATCAATCAATCAATTAGTTGGTCAGTCATTCATTCAATTAATCCATCTGTGAATCAGCAAGTCGTTCAGTTATACAGTCATTCACGTAATCAGTCAGTCAGTCAAATGCTAAACTAGTCAGTTATCAATCATTGAGTCGGATAATTAGTTTATCAGACAGCCAACGTATCACTAAATGAATTAATCAGTCAATCAGTCACATTCATTCATATGTCTAGATGTATCAAGAATTTAAATACTTTAATACAATCTGACGAGAAAAGTACCGTATTCCATTTTAGTATTCCGACACGCGCTCATCTGCAGTAGCTAATGATAAGCTATTATCGTCATATAAATCGCGTTATATAGATTTCGATTCGTAGAAGACTCAACGCTAATTGCAACAATGTGAGCCGGAAACTGTGGAGACAACAAATCTCCGCCAGCAATTTATGCCCGGCTGTCCGTCAGACCGAGCGCTTTGCGTGGCTTCCAATTGAAATGCGGGCATGCAAAGCAATTTGAGGAGTAGTCGCGAGTGACTAGTCGCGCGCGTGGAAGCCATTATTCAATTGGGGCTGAAGTGCAAAATTGAGTAGTTGGCCCCGCCTCTGGCCCCTCCCCGGCTGCGTCCTCTTCTGCACTCACCTGTAGTGTAGTGGGCGCCAGCCCTCGTAGAGCTGCAGCGTGCGTTCCATTGACTTTACATTGGTGTCCAGCGTCTCCTCCTGGACGGGTATATCGCCCACGGGCGGTACGACTACGGGTATTTCTGGCTTGGATGTCGTTATGGGTTCCTTTTGCTTCAGCCAGCCGGGTATGTCGAACTTGGCATTTGCCAAGGGCGTTGCATTTGCGTGCGAATCGCTCGTTGCATCGTTCTCATGACTCTGAAGATCCTTGGACTGTGCCTGGGCGCTGTGTGTGGTGACATGGGTAAAAGGATATAAAGTTTTGGGTTTGAGTTTATGTAAAGTGCTTAATTGTATTTGGTCAAGCGAGGCGCGGCCTCTGCAAACAGGTAAGCAGCCAAAGTAACCAAAGCAGCTTCTTTGGCCCTTCCGCGCCTCGAAATGCGTCAGAGGAAGCGAACCAATTGCTTTCGATTTCAAGACGGACGCGAAATGAGGTCACGCCGGGTCGACAGTCAATTAACTCGTTTGCCAAAACGCATTACGAGAATGCAAAAAGAAAATGAAAGCAAATAAAAAAGTGCTAAAAATTAATAAGCTTGCCACACCCACAAGTCCAACTGGCTTAGATGGAATAGGTGTAGCTGTTAACATGGCTTACTCACCTGGGCTCCATGATCGGCAGCTTTGGCGAGGCGAGGAAGTAGGTGAGAAGCACTGAGGATATAAGAGCTGCCACCATAATAAAGGCCGAGATGATCAAACACGCCTTAGAAACATAGACACCCGATGGCGGTCCATTGAAAACATATTTCTGTCCATTTTTCGTCTTCAGCTGACCGCCTGTCAAAATAAGCGAGAACGAGAGAGGGAGAAAGAGATCAGTTAGTTGGGCCATTAAAGACAATAAACGAGAAGAAATTAAACTTCAACTGCCGCAAGTTTAACGAGCTTGTGAACTTATTATGTTTTGTTCAATTGCTTAAAAGTATTCTGTTTGATATCCCATTCGGTATTTGTACTCTGTTAGATTCCCAATACATTTCCAAAAACAGCGAACAATAGTATCCATAATAAATATCTTTTATATACAATTTACAAATGGAAATTACACTGACAAAGGGTATTTATTGGTGGTGTGAATTGCACGACAATTGAAGATAACTGTTTATTTATTTGTGCACACATTGTTGGCATTGGGACTGCTGGCTGCATCGAAAGAGAAAACAGAAAGACCGAGCATACTGTGTAAAATGTCTACTGCGCTCACTCAATTGGTCGTAATGCTTTTGATCCCGTTATCTTAGTTATGCTCTCTCCTTGTGGTGTGAGCGAAGGAATTTTAACTGTTGGGTGCTCATAATTATTGTAGTAGTGCGAATGACGGCTTAGCACAATTAGGCAAATTGGTCTGTGCGTGTCTGTCCTGTTGATCGTTTATGTTCTTTGCGTGTGCGAATATAATAGTTTTGCTAATTAAGTTAAGTTAACTAAAAAGTGCTAATCGCGATTAATTGCTACTTTGAGTGCCTTAGCTTATATTTTAGTTTTGTTTTTACTTGGAATACCAGCATATTTATTTAACGACAACTGTTTCGTTTACTTTTGACAGCATCAAAAATGCATATAATCAGAAAAGAGAGAAGAAGAAGAGAGGAAGAGGGAAAAATTGCAAGAGTGTAATATTGAGCTACTCTTAAATAGGTGAGCCCTCTCATTGATAAATGCATTTAATCGAGCAATGTGTTAATGTGCAGAACATGACATGAAAGCGTATTAAAGTATCGACGTGCCGAGCATAGACGTTCTATTTTGTTGTTTGTTTTTCTCTTCTGTGTGCACTAGAAAGTGTTTATGGGATCCCTAACTTTGTTTTGGCATTCTAGCCATGCCGATGCATTATGAAAAGTGTTCAATGAAAATAAATTATGCACTTTTCCAACACATAAGACAAGTGAAGGAAATACGTGCTTCGAAATGAAATATAGCATAATTTAGCCAATGTATGAGTGCAGGAAATTAATTGTTAACGCGCTATTTAGCTGGGTGTTGACAGAGCCACAAAAGCTTCCCGCGGCGTTGCGCGGCTCGCTGAGATCATTAAACTCAATGCTGATAAAATGAATTCGTATTTGGCGAAAAAATTGAGTGAAAATAAATGTATGTCTTATTTTTAGGGCCGGAACATTTGTAGAAAGACGAAACAGGCAGCAAGTGGGCATACGCATAAACAAATAGCCAGACAGTGCGGCACGAAAATCAGTTCACACCAAGATAGCCCAACGGCGAAACAATTTTCCAAGAATTTCTCACATTTAGTAAAATACGATTATGCTAAAACAACTTGTTTCTCTAAGTGTAAATGTTATCTTTATTTAAACTGGAAAAGCTCAAGATTTGATAAAAGTTCGATAGTTCCTTATGTTGAATGAATTCCTTTTGGCTCTGCTAGACTTTTGCTGTGCACTGTTAACACTAAATATGACCAATGAACGCGAGCAGAAGAGCCGCACGTGTTGGGCATTTTCAATTACCGATCAACATGATCCAAACACACTGTGTGGTTATTGGACTTTGGCTATAAACCTACGCTGCTGGACGTTTTATGACGTGCTAGATAGAGAGAGTGAGAAAGAGAGAGAGTTTATCATTTTATTTAATTGGCAGTTCAGTGACTTTTCGGGCTTAATTTAATTGCAAAAATGAAGGCTAACAATGTGGCTCGAATTAAGTTTCCACCTGCTGCAATGTCCGAATATCTGTTGATAATCTGTAAGTGGCCACCGCAACCACCAGCAGCCGTAGCAACCGCACCAGCAGCACCGCCAGCACACCCACTGGCTTTGATCTGGCGCAGGCTGATGGAATTTATGTGGCAGGCCGAGCAACATTCTGTGGCAGCAACCAAATTAAAAACGTACACAGGTTGTGGCTCATGTTGAATGCAGCGGATAAATCAGTTGTCAGGCATTGTAACTCACGTTGAAAGCTTTTCAAATCTATTTTCTTTACATTTTTGTTCTTCACCAATTTTTAGTTTTATTTATTGTTTGTTTAGCTTTGCTGTTTGTTTTTCTCCTTTGCTGTGGCTAGGTGAGAAACGATTAAAGAATTTCATTAAGAAGTAGAAAACACATGTTGCGGCCCACGTGTGCACTGTGCTTCATTAACAAACAGACAAACAGACAGACAGACAGACAGACAATTTCTGAACACTCCTACTCCAGCCGAAATAGACATTAAACACACAAGCACATACATATTTATAAATACATATATATTGTATATGAATATATGTATTTTAATATGCACAAGTCGAAGTTTAAGTAGCATTAAAAGACAATAAAAACATTCAAATTAAGTTGTGCATAAAGGGAAGTATTGTGTGTGTGTGTCTTGTGTGTGGGCGTAGTGCGTGAGGCGCCAGCTTCAATATGAAACTGGAACGCCTACGAGCCGAGTCGGGCTCGGAATCGGGGCATTTAGCGGGCGACATTGAAATTAATTCGGGAATTTTGAGCTCGTAAAAAGTTTCTCACAAAATGTCAAATGAGGTTAATTAAAAACCAACTCAGCTAAGGCAGGTATTACGACTTAAAGAGAATCTCACTATACGATCTGCCAAAGAGATATAGTACTTACTATATATGAAATGTTTGACTCAAATTATTTTATTAAGCAGAAGAATTTTCATTATGAAATTTTCAATTAACTCATTCTATATATTAAAATTAATGTTTATATATGATAATACATGTCTGCAAATTATCGAAGCTATATCTAGTTTCCTATAGATCTATATATACTTTAAATATAATAAGAATTCACTAAGATTCATTAAAGTCAAAGTAGATCAAAAAATGAATACTCAAAAAATAATAAAGAATTAAATGTTTACTAGAGCTTATCTATCAGATTTTAATATATATATATGTATGTGATGCCTGCAAAAAGAAAAGATCTCTTCACAATGCTTAAATAGTTTTTCTGTACTCTCTTCCATAACTCAGTCCATGCCAATAGTTAATTAATTTATGAAATTTTGAAACATACCCAAAAATCTGTCCTTCGATATGAAATCGAAATGCAAACGTTTTCTAATATTTTTCGAATCGTCGAATTTGAAATTTCGTAATTTTGCCACGAATCCGTGAAATGGATGGGCGCCCGCTGGCACGCCCAAAGCTGGAGTTGTGGATGTATCTGATGATGAGCTTTTTGTTGGTGGTGCAGAGGATGGAGCCACTTCAATGGCGGTGTTAGCGTTTGCTGCTGCTGCCGCCGCTGCCATTGCTGTTGTTGTTGTTGTTGTTGGCGCATAAATTGATGAATTTTGCATGTTGGGATTGGTATAGGATATGATGGCTGTACACAAACAGATACGCGAGAGCAGGAGAAACAGAAAGAGAGAGAGAGAAAAAAATGCGAAAATTTTGAGCATAATGAGTAAAAGCTAAATGAGTTTTGAGTTTTTTACAATGTTAACAATTACAATGGTTAAAGCAATGAAAAAGCAAATGAAAATGTGTGAATGTGTGTGTGAGTGTGTGTGAGTACAGGTATGTAATTGATGCCAAAGCAATTGCCAATGAGCTGTGGCCACAATTGAAAATGCATTTAATCAAATTGACGCCACAGTCGGATGGACAAAGGGGAGTCAAACGGATGGGCTGGGCGAGGGCAGCAGTTGGAGGCATACAGCGGCACGTGTCTGTATATATATATATATATTTTTCTTATTTGTTGTTGTTGCAGCTGCGGCTAATCGTTGAAATTACGAGCAGAACGAAACGAATTCGATTTGCCGGCGCCAAATACTTAAATCTTTTCGCTCACATTTTTTCTAAAAATACAAAATGCGTACAATGCGCACAATGTTTATAGGTACTCTCACTGAGTTATACCTATTTATATACAAATATGTGCATATACATATATATATATATATATATACATTGATTGGCCACAGATAAAAATAGGAAGGAATTTAGCAGATTTCATTTTTTGCTAATTAACAACAAAAGGTTGCGATTGAATCGCATATATATTTATGGGCCTCAATTATTTTGTAGTGTTAGATCTGTTCGAGTTGCTGCTTAAGTATTTCAGACCGCAAGATGAATCATCTAGGCACTTTGCCGGCTACTCCGGTTCGTCGTTCGCTTTTATACTGCGTGAAAATGGAGAAGTTCTGCGACCCATAAAATCAAAATTATGTTGCTCTTTTGCATTTCGCGCACATACATAAGATCGTTTTACAAGCAGCCAAGAGGGGAGCGAGCGAGAAATGGAGTTACAGTTAGAGTGAGGCGAAGAATTCGAATTCGATCAAGCGTTAAATTTTGTGCGGTTTATGGCGACGTTTCTATGGGCAAATGAAGCAGAGTTCAATAACAGCTAAAGCAGCACGTTAAATAAGCAGGCCTAGCAAATACCCTGCAAATAATTTAAATATATGCTTGAATGAAGCTGCTGTACGCAGTTTACTCTAAGAGATATCAGATCTCATATATTTATGTTAAGTTATCTATAATGGGAAACTATAGTTTCTTATCGATTCAAGTTACAATTTGAGATGAAACAGAAGAGATATACCAAATATTTCTAGATAAACCTTGAGTTATTGGACTCTGTCACAGACATTAACGCTCAAGCATTAGAGCCTCTTCATAGTTACAGGGTATTTATAAATGTATTAGACTTTGATCTTGAGCATATACAAATAATTTAGTCATAAAATACTTTGATCTTGAATATGTACAAATAAACTATAGTCATGAAATATCTTTATCGGATTGCTAAAGAACTTATATGAAAGAGCTATTAAAATATTTTTTTCTTTT